AGATTTCTTAAGTTTTAACTATATACATAAAGGGAAAATATGACCCCTGTATCGGGGCCAATTTTGACCCAAGGGCTTTTATTTTAACACACTTGGTAGACACCCTCTAGAAGATGTTTTATGCTTAATATCTAAACTCTACCTGTTTGGGCTTTTAAAAAGAAGATTTTTAAGTTTTTACTATATACAAATAAGGAAAATCAATGAGCCCCGGGGCGGGACCAATTTTGACCCCAGGGCATTTATTTGAACAAACTTGGTAGACATTGACTAGATGATGTTTCATACCAAATATTTTAGCTCTAGTTCTTTCGGTTTTCTAAAGAAAATATTTTAAGTGTTGTTTTTTTCAGTTGCCATGGCAACCAGAGTTCTGCTTGGAAACAATTTTTAAAGTTGACTACCAATGAAACATTCCTGTGTGGGAAGTTTGGATAAAATTTGCTTTGCCGTTAATGAGGAAATGTCATTTAAAATAAAAGTAATTTTACAGACGGACGGACGCCGGACGAAAAGCGATCACAAAAGCTCACCATATAACTTTGTGACAGGTTAGCTAAAAATGTCATCAAAACACAACAATAAACGTGTGAAAAACTCTATTTCCCATACCGTTTTAGCGTATGCAAATGAAGTTAAGTATACGCGTGACGTGTATTATCCAATATCGGATAAACAATGCAACGCTCCGCCCATACTGAGATGGTGTATTCGCTTCGCTTGTTGACATTTAGACTGCATTGAATTGACCTTGAACTTGATCAGCCATTAAATTAATCGTAACAAATAGATGTAGTTTGTTTATTTCAAATGAAAAAATGCACAACAGAAAACATCTTCACTAATGGGGTTTTCGTGTTTGGAGACAAGAAAAAACAACGGAGAAGTTAAGAAATTCTTTGAAAAAATGTCAAACATGTACTTAATGGATCAAAAAACTGTTTGTCAATAAATATCAGAACGTTATTTTACATTTGCATCCGTTTAGATTTTCGGAAACGTATTTATTATTCAACATTTATATAATAAAATGAAGTTGAAAAACAATCCCATCGAATAAAAAAGATGTCATTTATAAATTTTGACTTTTATATCATGCTGACTGTCTTAAGAGACCGTTTCATTAAGCGACCGTTTTTGGTGTTTCCCTTGCCCGGTCGCTTAATACACGTTTGACTGTATCTGGAAGTGTTATTAAATGCTTATGTTGTATCTTGTTGTGCATTTTCAGAAGACTGGACATAAAGTCTCTTTCATAGCTGTACAAAATCAAATCGGTGACCAGGGGTGCACAATTAGTTCCCATAGAAATTCCTATGATTTGTTTAAAAAGGGTATATCCAAACCTAAAAATTTCTTGTCTAAAAGAAAAGAGAGGTGCTCTACAAACAAGTCCACAAAGTATAATGTTTTACAATACAGTTTGTAAAGAAGGCTTTTTGAGAGTTACATGCAAGAAATGTTACTCTTTCCCGTGTAAAAGTTTTGTGAATCATGGAAATAACTTAATCATTCATTGAATTATGTGGCAGTGTAGTATAAAGGGAAGAAAAATCGTATGTACTGACAGTTGAAGCTTGATAGTGCTTAATTTTCAATTTATCAGAAATTTCACCAGAATTCTTAATAGACCAAATAGATGTTAGCCGGTGTTTTCGTACACTTTATCAGAATATATAACTAGAAGGGTTTATGTCATAAACATATATGTCTCCCAAACCTATTTTTGGTCAATCCTGTGAATTTTGCTTGAAATCCCACCAGCAGCTAAGACTGTTTTAGCTGGACAGGATATTTCTATTTTAGCTCTGACAGCTATTTTTTGCAGCGAAGCAGAACATGTCGGCGATATGCACAACTAGGGATGGCAATATAATCACTCATGTGAAATTTCATTTAAATCCCACTTGCAGTTTGACCCCTGAAAACAGGAAAAGATTTTTCTATCTTTCGTTTTTGTGGCCATTTGGTGCACCAAAAATGAACATGCTGGTGATATGCACAACTAAGGATAATTCTGATCATTTCTGTGAAGTTTTATTGAAATTCAGCATGCAGCTTAACCAGTTGAAGCCGGACAAGATGTTTCTATATGTGGCTCTTTTTCTGGCGGCCATTTTGTTTAGCGGAAAATAAACATGCTGACAACTAGGGATAGCACTGATCCCTCCTGTGCAGTTTGGTTGTGATCCCATCAGCAATTTGACATGTAAAAGCCGGACCAGATATTATTTTTTAGCTCTTGCTGCCATTTTGTGCAGCAAAGCAAACCGCCGGTTATGTGCACAACTAGGGATGGTACTCAACACTCCTTAAAGTTTGGGTTGAAATCCCAACATAGTGTACCTGTAAGGTTCGGAAAAAAGGTGTGCGACGGTCGGACAGGATCTAGTCAACAGTCCAAAATCGGTGGGGCAAAAAACAGTGTCTCCCAAATATTTTGGGTGACATTATAATATGTTTTTTAATGGCAGTCAATAAAATAGAAATTTTACTTCTTTGCTAGATGTAGAATTAGCAATGACTCTAGCCTTGTAAGATTAAAGAAAGTTTTAGCTCTTTTTCATCGATTTGGACTTCAAGACTAGAAATATTAGTGACATGATTGTTAACAATGTCTTTTTCAGAAGTGCTAGTTTTAGAATGCGCATAAGTATCAATAAGTTCTTTATGCAAAAATTTAATGTAATGATTAAGCGCCTTGTCTGCTGGTACCAAAACAAATTTTGAGTGAATAGCTAGAATATCAAATTTTAAAGGTCTTAAAGTAAATAATATGATAAACAAGATCAACAAGGAAAGGCGGCATTTCAACGAACGCAGCCCCTTAAAGTATCAGTGCCACATTGAACACAGAACCTGCAATTTGGTAAGATTAAAGAAAATTTGGGTATGAAAATTATAATGATAAGTTGAAATAAATATAAACCATTAGACTATTTAGGTGGAAGAAGATGTTCATTTCCACGATTAAATTAATACAGTAAACTCCGCTTAAAACGAACTCATTGGGACATTCAAAATATGTTCCTTATATCCGGAGTTCCTATAAGAATATAGCGAATAAGTTCCTTGTATAAGGAGTTTTTTGATAGCAAACAGATTTACATACAACGAACTGATTGTTTACCATCGTCCTAAGGCGATGCCACAAGCAAAATATCTAAGCATTGGGCACTGGTCTTTCAGAGAAGACGTTTATAACGTCACTTATAACTAATAAAAAGATCTATGAATAAACTAAGTGCATCATCACAACGCAATACGCAAATAAAGACACTTGTTACACATTATATAGACAATGAAGATCGTACAATTTATGTGTGCCCAAAAAAATGACGACAAATTTCAAGCACGAACAACGTAATGTATTTTAACTTCATTGCCACGCTAATTTGTCGCCAACTGAGACTGAAATGTTTATTTTAAAAACTAAATCGACCAAATATTGTTAAAGGCAACTTGTGTTTAAATGTCAGAACAGATTAAGAAGCGGGGGTGAAATTGTATCGTAAAAGAAACGCTCCATACGACCGAAAGTAGCATCGCCGAAATTAATCGTAATTGCTTGGATCAACAATCTTTAAAAAAAAACAAGACAATCTCACTCGCTTGAGGAAGAACCAGCGGACAATCTTTGTTTATCAAGGATATGTAGTATGGAAATTCATCTAGGAAATGTAATAAAGCATAAATGTTAGTATAACGCCAGACAGGATCACAGCCGTTTAAAACGAAGAAATGGAAAAAGTGTGTAATTGCGTCGTGATTAATAAGGCACACAAGGGCGATTTTTGTATATCCAACATATTACCTACGGATGGATCACAGTTCATCATATATGAAAACCAGAATTAAATGTACAACAACCGTGGAATCTAAGGCAAAGAAATTAAATGGCAAAGAAGTTGACATTTTTCGCGATCCAATCAAGTAGAGAAAAACACAGAGAAAAGTTCGTTGATTAAGACGTAAGTACGAACCCATGATTGAATTGTATTGTATGGTTATGCGTTTAGAATGGCACAACTAGCCTATCGTCTGCACAGACACAGTCACAGTTATCACCGTGTATCTCTATATGCGCCTCTAGTGTCTCAGAAGAATGAGTATCTTACAATCCATTACCGTCTCGTGCTGATTTTGTCAACGAAAGTATTAACCAATAAGACAAAAGTTACCAAAGAATGAACTGTTATGAAACCTAACTGATTAAATAACAACTATATTACAGTTCATATATATACTTCGTGAAGAGTGTCACACAATATGCCACATCCGTATTATTGTAGAATAAAAATTGAACAAAGATTATTTAAAACCTTTCACGAGACATCCCTCTACCTCTGCAGATATACTATACAATAAAGTAAATAAAAAGATCAATAACAAAGAATAATATGACAATATATATTAAACGCAAACCATACACAATTACAAGCCAACACACATCAAAAGACACATCGAGAAAAAGTTTCCAGCAACACATTCTCAAAACAAAAAGACACGAGAGCAAATACTTAAAAGAGCAAAGCATCACGCCCGACACGGAGCACTTACCCAATCACCATAGAGAATAATCAAGAAAATAAACACAAGCAAAAAGCACAATCTGGAAATATAAACAGTACGATAATACCCATGAAAGTGAGCGTTAACGAAAAGTCTAGATACGGCGAGTGAGGCGAATGCTCCAAGATCATCCCTCACCCCACTTATAGCCGCATCCAACCTAATGAGAGTCAAACAAGAATGATCCTAAGCCACATTTATCGAGGTGCGCAACTGGTTCAAAAAGTGTGTATATCATCAAGCGAAAGTGTGTTGTCAAAAATTTCTCTACATTATATTGGCAAATGTTAACCTAGGTCAGTGCATACGCCGCCACACCCATTAATCTACAAAACTTTGACTACTAAAGATCATCATAAAACAGACCCATCCCTGAAACCACGCATAACATACACAGAGATAAACCCTCAAATAATCTAAACACCAACTTCTAGTAATCGATTAACAAGTCTTTTTCGTATTTCAGCTCTAACACTCATCAGGACCAGCTTAACCCCTTGTTTTCTGTCTACACGAAATGTAGCTTCTATTCTCAAACTCGACACCATAACTCAGAATCATCTATGAAACAAACTATATCCTGAAACAAATACTAGAAATATAAAATTTCAAACACTATGCGTCCAGTTTAAGAAAGTGTATTATAAAAACAGAGATTATTCTCCTCAATTTTGAGCTCCTGTTACCTAGTTTAAGATCCACGACACCCAGACATCTCCACTCAGAACTCTATTCTGAATTTTATTTATTGAGACAAACATTTACTGCCAAAAATTTATGATTCAATCAAAAAATGGATTACCTAGCACTGTATTCAACCAACAGACTTGCTGACGGACACGAACCGAAAGCACTCGCACGAGACGGACGCCGTACATTAAGCCCCATCACTAATACCTCACGAGCACACTTCAAATAGTCATGTGCAACTTAATTAAAACAAACAGACTGGCGCATATAGCGGATAAATAGTAATCTACATAATACTAATTCAGTGACACCTGAGAAAACACCAAGAGACCCGACAGAGGACACGAAAATCACCAAACATCGAATATACATGAAGCCAACATAAAAACCTACAATCCGACATAATTACAATCCCCCTACTGGCTAATAATCTTGCCCTAGAGCCATCCGTTGTTTTGCTCGCCAGACATATAATAGTATCTATTATATTTAAACTCTATTTGTTTAGAATGCTTTACGATCACTATATAGTTTAATATACAAATCACCCAAGTACTGAGCGCCAGATCCGGGATCAATTATTAGACGAGAAGAGCATGATCTCCTCCATATAAAAGATGTATACCGATCTCACATTCAAACGCCCGTTGACACCATTATATATCGTATATATGAGTAAAATGACAAGTACTTTAATAATTTACTATGATGAAACCAGTGAAGCATTAATGACCCCTGAGTAGTGTCATCGTGAATTTTAGACAACGAGAGGTAGTGATTATCATTTATTCTTAGTCATAGCTACAGGTAGATCACTGGCTCATGAAACCAAATATAAATATCTAAGATTCTATGGTGTCAATGTAGATAGCAGAGATATTTAAAAATTCCATATTTTGAGTATCTGCACTCGCACGTCTATAGACACATGTCTTGACCAAAAAACCAATTTCAATCCTGCGAACATTGCACTGTCTTGTAATCTGTAACACCGTATTTCTATAAACATTATTAAAGGTCGTATTACACCCACCGCATAACAATTAAATAAATCGTCCTACAAATATGACAAACATCTCAGCTGCTAGAGCAAATGACAAATAAATCCTCACAAAAGACCAAGATAAAGAAAATCGAGCCGTGAGAAACGCGATTAATTAATGTATACGTATTCCAAAACCTTATAAAATAAAATGTAAGATATTAGTAATAAAAATATTTAATCAAATATATTATAATAAATTTAAAAGAAATATAAAAAAGTATGTCACTATCTTAGTGCCTACAAGTATTAACAACATTATTCCACAATGTCAGAATCAGGTTATACAGCCCATATCACGGATCTTTAAAACAACTGCGTAAATAGAAGATCTCTAATTAAAATAGTAAGTCATAGACATTTTTCAATGGAATCTGTCTAAAGTCGAAGAAGACTACTCCATTAGCTAGATGCAATCTCATTACACAGCGAGTTGGACCAAGCGGAGTCTCTAGCACTCAAAACTCTCTGTCTTTTTAAACCCATGTTCCCATTTTACTCTACAGTACAGCCAGAAACAAAAACCTCATATATCAACAAAGATCTAATTATGGTCGTTTTCTATGACAGGATTTGAATGTATAGCGACAAAACGCGAAGCTAGACCATAAAAAACACCATAACATATTTAACCCACCATAATAACATAGTATTTAAAAAAAATTCTAGCCTCAAATTGTACGCAATGCAAACAAGTTCAACATAGAGTCATTGAAACTATCATATTTTTCCGCGTTGCAAACAGTTTTCTAATCCACAATAAATTCTCGATACGCTGTAAAGTATCTTTAAGCACAGCTTCTGAATAGCCAAACAAATATATAGTTCCATTTGCAATGAATCCACAAATTGAGATAACTAAGCGTAACAATACTTAGAAATAAATAGATATCACTATTGCTCATTTTTTCTGAGCAGCAGCACTGCTTTGAAAGCTCAAATGACGCCACGCAGAATACTCATATACCGGAAGGCCTACGTAAAGCATGAGTGGAATAACTGATTATATAAATTGATACCAAGGCCATTTTTTGATCACTCAAAAACCCGGGCAATAATGACCCACAAACAATGTGCCCATATATATATTACAATAAATGCACGAAGAAATAAATATTTATCTCCATTCTAACACGTCAAGAAAAAATATTATTATTATTATCAAGTTGGACTTTATGTTTGGTGGTTAAATTTGTTTTCGCCTCTGCGTTTCCAATAGAAACGTTCTTTAAAGGCTGTTCCAGTGGGTTGAAAAGAAAAACTGTCGTTAAATCTAACGTTGAGTATAACGAATTTTGAAAACGTTGATAAAACTTTGTTTATTTTACATTTTGTATTTCACTCTATAATTTTTCAAGCGAAATGCAAATTATTAAAAGTGAAATAAATGTAAAACTTAACTCGTTTGCGACATTAAAATAGCGTACTTGATTTGATTGTTTTGCGCGTGCTATTTGGCGCTACATTGTGACGTCACATAAACAACACTTTAAACGTCTGTACAGCGTTAACGACTGAATTAAAGATATTGGTGCTCGGATTCATTTTCTTAATTAGACCATATTCTTTTATTCTAGATAGTTTTTACAACAAAATTCGACAAAAAAATAGTTTTTTATTTATCAGATTTTTCAAACAAAATGGCGCTCTCAATGTGAAAATACACAGGGAGATAATTCTTTAATTGAGCATTTACCAAGTTGGGTTTTACTACCAAACATTAATAATATCTGTCATATGTTGCGGTTCAGACCGGAATATCCGTCCCGAGGGGATCCGCCCATTGGGCGGTAACGAGGCTTGACGAGTTACCGCTCATGGGCGGGTTCCCGAGGGACAGATATTCCGATCTGAACCGCAAACATATGTAAAAAAAATTTCTGCCATATTATTTCATATTTAAAATGGTTAAGGGCTTGTAGCAACGTAAAGGATTTTAACAAGCGAAATATTTTCATTACCGGTAAGCTACTCAAACAGGGCTACCGCTATTATAAATTGCGTAAATATTTTACAAAATTTTACAATCGTAACTTTGATTTAATTTCAAAATTCAGTAGTGATCTAAAAACACTTCTGCGACAAGGGACTGGCCTGATTTTTACGGGGATGTTGTTTACAAACTTCGTAAGATCTTTGGTCATTGTAATATTTCTGTTGTGTTTGCTAAAATTATTAAAAGTTTTATCAAAAGGGGTTATGACCCTACTATTTTAAGACATACCACATGCTTAGTGTTCAACCCATTTACAGTTGGACGCTACGCTTTCCTCTTTTGATTACATCTGACGGACCAAGTGGGGGACTCTATGATGGACAGTTCTAAAAGCCCTTTGGGACTGAATTGCCATAATGTTTGTCTTCTGTCTTGCTTCGTCGGGCCCTTGTAGGTGATTTTCTTTTTGCTCTGTCTTCCTTTAAGACATCGAGTAATTTTGTTATGGTCATTGGGTTTACTTTTATATGTTTCTACATGATTATTTTAGTGGTTTACTTATTTAACCTTTTGTAACCATAACAACTGTTAGAATTTTACTTGGCGGGGATTCATTTTTATTAACACTGTCTTGTTTATAGGACTATGGTGGGGCTAAGAGCGAGGTTTGGTGCACAATTAACCGGTTTAAACTCCCCAGCAATATTTATGCTGCTGACCGTTCCAAGACGGCGCCCCTCTGTGTTCCTCAGATGTATGTCTATGTTGTTTCATACTGTTTTGATGACATTTGTGTCCCTTGTTGTCTTCGTCTACAGTAATTATCTTTCCCTTAGTCCCTAGTTTTTATTTACTTCATTTATCCCCTCCCTTCCTCGGGCCTATTTTTCAACCATCTATTTGTTTTCTTTAAGTTCCTTATCAGTAACTAATTATTCATGATTTTAGTCGTTAGCATGCCTATGCCCATGTGCCCTGTCCTGTTTTTGTTTGGGGTCCTCCTGGGCTCCGTGGCACTGGCTCTTGTTGCTGGGTCGGGTGGGGGTTGTGTTCATTGAACCGGCCCTTTCTTTGTTGATCTTGTTTGTCATATTTTACACCAATACGATATATGTTCATGGAAATTAATGTCATTTCATCCAAAACTATTTTCTTACAATAGCCTATAAACTTACAACTTAAATAATAACGGCAAAATGACGTCATCCTTAGCACATATTTTAACGCGGTTCATTCATAAAGTGCGCTAAAATGACGTTGTTGTTTGGCACGTGACTCATCTGGCACTCCCATGCCAGATGAAATTTCCGGCATGGGTTAAATTCACGGAAACACTAGTCTGCTATGCAAGAAAATGAGTTAATATGTCTTAATGGTGTTCATTTTGAGTTTATTGGCATTCATCAAGTTATTAATGATTAAAGCACTGTCTGCAAGTTGCTTTATAGCGTTAAGTTCATTGGTCACTGAAGTTGGTCGAAAGCGTTGACTAGCAATGTGGTCATCAGCAAAGCCGTACACAGATATAGTTAGTGGTATCACATCAAATAGGGTTCCCGCATATGTGAGATAGAGCCAAGTACCAAGACATCTCTCCTGATGTTTCACTGCATAACAGCAATCGTGGAGTCGATTCAGTAGAATTAACACTGACGCGACATCTACACAGGGACGAGTCCATCCATGCTTACACGGTACCATCAACACGTCAAGTAGAATGTTGTGGTACACGGTGTCGAAGGCTGCACTTAGATCTATTGCAATTATAGCTGTCACTTCTTGCTTCTCCATACCATCTAGAAGATCATTGACAAGTCTGAGTAAAGCAGTCTTGCATGAATGATGAAGTCTGTATGCTGATTGATTTTTGGGTAACAAAT